GAGCCGGCCTGAGCCGAGCCGGCTCGGCTCGTAAAAAACCCGAGCCAAAAGCTCGGGCCGAGCCTTATTTTTTTTGGCGAGCTTTTGCTCGGCTCGGGCCCAAAAAAAGCCCGTTGTGATTTACTCGAGTCGAGCCCGAGCCCAAAATTTCGGCTTGCGAGTCGGCTCGGCTCGGCTCGTTTACATCCCTACATAACATCCATCGCCAAATTCCCTGGTTACAAGTGATATTCATTAGTGTGGTCTTATTTTTATCATCATCGCTCACTCCAGTTTAGCACCTGCACAACAATTAACCATTATCAATACTAAGTATTGATAAACATTTGTTGAACTTACCAACCGCAAGTACTTTTGTTCCAACATTTGCAGGATTGTCATTAGTTGCAATTTGAAGCAAAATAAAATCACCAGAAGCTAACTTCTCCCTAATGAAGTGATACTTCACCTCAATATGCTTAGTACGTTCATGATAAACAGGATTTTTACCCAACATCAATGAACTTTGACTATCAATAAAAATCATAGCATTATCATTCAAGAAGTTTAATTCACATAGAAGGCGTTTCAGCCACATGCATTCCTTTATAGCTTCATTTAATGCAACATATTCTGTTTCAGTGCTGGAGAGTGTAACTATAGGTTGCAACTGTGATTTCCAAGTGATACAATTATCACCTAAAGTGAAGAAATAAGAAGCGGTAGATTTCCTCTGATCTTTATCCCCGGCAAAGTCAGAATCTACATATCCTTTAAGTTCTAATTTGTTACTTCTTCTTTCAAATGCCAATCCCCTTTTCAAAGATCCGACTAGGTACCTTAATAGCCATTTAAGTGCAGTCCAATGTGGTTTACCCGGGTTAGAAATAAACCTACTCAAGAAACTAACTGCATATGCAAGGTCCGATCTTGTGGTAATCATAGAATATATTACAGACCCAATGGCATTAGCATAGGGAACATTACTCATTTCATGCATTTCTTCTACAGTTTTATGACATTGTGCAGATGATAAGTTTGTGTGTAAAGCTAATGGTATATTTACAGACTTAGCAAATTTCATACCAAATTTGTTTATCATTTTATCCAAATAAGACTCTTGATTAATAGTCATCCTATTATCAACCCTGTTCCTTTTAATAACCATGCCAAGGATTTTTCTTGCCTCTCCTAAGTCTTTCATGTCAAATTTCGATTTTAAAAGGTTTTTCATCTTTATGATTTCAGTTTTACTAGGACTAGTAAGAAACATGTCATCCACATATAATAATAAATAAACTTCACAACCTATTTTAGAGTTATTAAAATATAGACATGCATCAAGTTCACTCCTCTTAAAACCAATTTTAAGCATATAAGCATCAAAACTCTTATACCATTGCCAAGGACTCTACTTAAGACCATATAAGGACTTTCTAAGCAAACACACAAGTTCTGATTTTCCTTTCACCTCGAACCCTTGAGGTTGAGACATGTAAATCAATTCATCTGACTCCCCATAAAGAAAAGCCGTCTTAACATCTAGTTGCTCCAACTCCCAATCATATTGGACAACCAAGGCTAAGACTAACCTGATAGTTTTATACTTAATAACTGGTGAGAATACCTCATTATAGTCTATCCCTTCTCTCTGAGTAAATCCCTTCGCAACCAACCTAGCTTTGTATGTTAAAAGGTCTTTAGGTCCTACTCCTTAATTTAACTTGTAGATCCATTTACAATGGACTACCTTTTGATTCTTTGGTTTTTTAACCAACTTCCAAATCTCATTTTTGTTTAGAGACTGGATCTCTTCTCTCATTGACTTTTTCCAATTTTCAGAATTTTCACAATTAACCGCTTCCTCAAATGAAGTCGGTTCAACTGACTCCAAGGTTTCACCTGAAACTAGGACAAATTCCATCAAATTTGAAGAGATGTATTTCAAATTGGGCTTCACTTGTCTTCTCTCTCTATCCCTCACTAATTGGTAATCATCCAAATTAGTACCTACAGATTTTTCTTGATTAGGGATAACAGTTTCGGGAATTTCAAGTTCAGGTTGTTCTATCACTGCTTCTTGATCAGATTCTTCTTGAAGTTGGATTTCACTATCCTCTAGATTACCTCCTAATCTCTTCGCCTCAAATTCCATCTTCTTTCTAGTAGAAGATTCTCCTTCCTCAGTATGTTTGTTCTGACTTACTATGTTTTTAAGATAAGACATATCAAGTTCATTGAACTTTATATCTCTACTGTTAATAATCTTAATGCCCTTTACTCCTAAAACCCACAGTCTATATCCTTTTACTCCCTCTGGATAACCTAACATGACACACTTAGTAGCCCTAGGGTCCAATTTTCCCTCAACATGATGTGCATAAGCCGCACAACCAAACACTCTAATATGTGACAAATCTGGGGGTTTTCCAGACCACAACTCTTGAGGAGTTTTGAAGTTAACAAAACTAGAAGGTGACCTATTTATTAAATAGGCAGCAGTGCAAACGGCTTCACCCCAGAAACCTTTAGAGAACCCAGAATTAATCATCATACATCTGACTTTATCCATTAAAGTCCGATTCATTCTCTCCGCTACCCCATTTTGTTGAGGGGTATGTCTTACAGTCCTGTGCCTCATTATACCCTTTCCCTTGCAGAAATTATCAAATTTGAAGTTGCAAAACTCTAAACTATAATCCGTCCTAAGAGTTTTCACACCCTTTCCTATTTGATTTTCAACTAAGGCAAGCCAAGACTTAAACTTACTAAAAGTTTCAGATTTGGATTTAAGGAGATACACCCAAACTTTGCTCGAGTGATCATCAACAATGGATAGAATAAATCTATTTTCTCCATGTGTGTGGTGTTTTTCAGGACCCCACAAATCTGCATGAATATAGTCCAATGGTCTCTTAGTGTTGTGTTCACCTGTCCCAAAGCTAACATTGTGTAACTTTCCTAGAACACACGTCTCGCAAAAACTTAAAGGTGTAACACTATCCTTACCAAGTAAATTTTGGTCACTAAGGTATTTCAATCCTTTGTTCCCAATGTGTCCCATCCTCTTATGCCAAAGATCTGATTTATCTTCACAAGCTAAAGATAATGCCGACTCTTTACTATCCAAGGTTTTACCTTGAAGGACATATAACCCATTCTTCTTGGGACCTTTCATAACCACTAGAGATTCTTTACAAATCTTTAAAATACCAGCATGAGATTTGAACTCATGACCTTCTTCTTCTAGAGTGCCTAAGGAAATGAGATTCCTTACCAGGCCTGGGACATACCTAACACCTCTAAGGGGTCTAATAATGCCATCATGCATCCTAATAGCAATATTACATACTCCTTCTACATTGTGTGTACGATCATCTCCTAAGTATACTTTTTTAGGATTCACATCTCTATAGTTATAGAACCAAGATTTAACAGGACACATATGAACAGTAGCACTTGAGTCTAATACCCACTCAGTGTCAAAATCAATATTAGAAACATTCATGACATGTATGTTATCACGAGCACCATTTAACTCGGTGTCAAAATCTCCTGACATGGTCATAACATTTAGGCAATCGAGGGAATCACTTACAGCAATTAAGTTCTAATCGTCATTTTGCGGCGGTCTTTGTTTCCTTTTAAAGTCATTACAGTCTTTCTTGAAATGTCCTAACTTGCCACAATGGAAGCATTTCTTACCACTCTTATCTCTAGACTTAGACCTACCCTTCGATTTTTCTTTGCCCTTCTTACTTTGAAAATGGTTCTCCTTCGTCTCATTCCTCCATCTAGCAAACAAACTCTCTTCTCTCGAGCTACCCCTCGACTCTTTCTTAAACTCTAGCTCCCTAGCCCTCAAAGCATCAGTCACAATATCTTGGGTCAAAGTATCCCTAGCATATGTGATAGCATTCCTAACATCTCTATAAGATTCGGGCATAGCATTTAAAAGTATAACCGCTAGATACTCATCATCAAATTTCTTGTCGTTGTGGGCCAACCACTTGACGAGTCTGTTAAAGTCATTCAAATTTGATTCAAGATCCTTTTCTGGGTCCAGCTTAAAATTAAACAGTTTTTGAAGCAAATGCATTTTGTTTGGAAGAGATTTTTTCAAAAAAAGCTTGTCAAGTGCTTTCCACAACTCTTTGACAGTCTTATGTCGTTCAACTTGTCCTAACACATCATCAGATAAATGCGATATAATCAAACTATGTGCAATTTCATTTATCTCAATAATTTCATCCGGTTTAGCTTTTAATGCATCGGGATATTTTTCCGGGTCGTCAAGAGCTTTAGGAACTTTTTGTTGAATTAAAATAGCTTTTATTTTTTGCTTCCAAATGGAATAATCTCCCTTACCATTGAATTGTGTTAATTCAACTCGAGAGGCCATATTAGCAAAATAATGTTTTCGAAAAAAGTTTTACTTAGCCAATTTAGCCACACACAAATGCAAGCTCAAACCAATTTATATATAAATTACTTTCTAAGATGACATAAATGATGATATCATAACAAGTAACACATAACCAATATCACAAGAGTCAAGTAATAATATGGCAGCAAATAACACAATATTTCAATTGTAAATTCGAGAGGGTGTTAGAATGCGCAAACCGAGTGAACCAATCTATTGGTTTGTATTTTAAGGAGAGATACGAGTCTTTATCAATCTGAAACATCTAGTAACTGCCCTAAGTCATCCAACAGCTGTTGAAACACCAGGAAACACCACCGAGTAGCCAACGAAAAAGTTTCTCCGTTTTCACTTTTCTGCCCGAGACTGTATTTGCTTCCACAGTGCACCAAACTGAAATCCAACACCACCACAAGGTCAGAAATTCATCAAGGAACAATCTGTCTTTTTTGACATCCGGCTGAAAACTTCTCACGCCCCCTCACGCGCCGCCCTTGTTCTCTGCGTGTGGTCTCACGACGACGCGTGACTCACCTGCGCTTCACTGGAATATAGTGCTTGACGTCTGGAGTTTGGTGGTGGTCTCCGTTCGTCCACCAGATTTGTAGTTTTTCCAAAAAATGGGTTCAAAGTTTCTGCTGAACTTGTTTTCGAACAAAATCGAACTCTTTTGACTTTCAATACGATTTTCAGGTTGTTTTAACACTTTTTACCACTAGCCTAAGCTCTGATACCATTTGTAGAGTTTAAAGTGTAGTATAAAAAAGATTATTACAACTACAATACGAAATAACAAACTCTCAAAGTGTAAAACCGAACCAAACTCGACCCAAAGCTTCTTTAACACTACCAATGAAGTGTACTTGATGTTGAGCTCAGATTTGTGCCACACCGGATCATGCATCGTCGTCCACGGGAATGGCAATGGATATACCAAGAAATGATCCGTCGGAAGCCACCAAGAATTTCGCCGAAGTTATGGAAAGCTCCCACTTGGTTACTCTCTATGTTCTCTCTCAAATGTTATACCAACTCCAAGTAGAGAGAATGAAGAGGTCTTGAAATTATAGAGCCAATTCATTTGAATTCAAAATTCAAATATTGTACTATGGTCTAGAGAGTGACAACATTAGTATAGGTAATTGACCACTAGATTAAATCCAATATGGTCCATATCACCCCACAACTAGCACAATACAAGTCACATTCTCTAAATCAATCAACTTGCACCAATAATATGTTGTGATCCACCTTTCATGTGCTTTGACAATTTGTCATAGCATTTTTCAATGATTGAGGTTGTCTTTCCTATTTGAAGAGGCGTCAATCGTCGAGTTATTGACATTAGACAGCATAACATTAGTTAGTTTAACACAAAGTACACGGTAGAATTTCTAAAGGTGCTTTTTACTTCGGACCGAAGTTGGCTTATTCTTATTGGCTCTTTCAATAAATATTATGATGAACCTCGTTTTCCTTCTTATTATCGAAGGTGCACGTCCAGACTTGACCAGATTGCTCATTCGGAATCCAAGTGAGACTCTATCATGGCTTGGCCCAATTAATAACCAACTATACTGTGAAATAGGAAAATTTCAATTATGCTGTACATATACTCACATTAAAGCCCCTTTCGGAGTAGTTAAAAATCAGAATTTAGTAAATTTTGATAAAAGTTGATGAAATGTGTTGATGAAAAGTTGTGACCTTATGAGATGTGAGGTTACAATTAATTGTTGACTTTGACATTAATTTTTATAAAAACTTTAAGATACACCAAATAGGGACTAATTAGCAAGATATTGCACAATATCCAACTGAATATATTAGAAGCAATGAACCCTCAATTGCTACCAACATATTTCAGCATTTATGTTCATTACATTTAATGATATCCGCTCTCGTCTCCGTGTTTTACTCGGCAATTCCCTACGAAGATACCAAATTAATTGATGGCTTTGAGCAACAACAAATGGGGACTAAGCATCAAGATATTGCCAAATATCCAACTGAATATAGTAGAAATAATGAACCCTCAATCGCTACCAACATAATTCAACATTTATGTTCATTACATCTAATGATGTCTGCTCTTGTCTCCATGTTTTCCTCGACAATTCCCTACCGGCAGTGATTTTGAAGATACCAAATATTAATTGTTGGTTTTGAACTATAACAAACAGGGATCAAGCATCAAGATATTGTAAAATATCCAATTGAATATAGTAGAAGTAATGAACCCTCAATCGCTACCAACATAACTCAGCATTTATGTTCATTACATTTAATGATGTCCGCTCTCGTCTCAGTGTTTTCCTTAGCAATTCCAACTGAAAGTGATTTTGAAGATTCCAATTTTGAAGATGGTTGGCTTTGAGCTACAACAAACAGGGACTAAGTATCAAGATATTGCACAATATCCAACTGAATATAGCAGAAGTAATGAACCCTCAATCGCTACCAACATAATTCAGCATTTATATTCATTACATTTAATGATGTTCGCTCTCGTCTCCGTGTTGTCCTCGGCAATTCTCTACTACGGAAAGTGATTTTGAAGATACCAATTTTGAAGATGGTTGGCTTTAAGCTGCAAGAAATAGGGACTAAGTATCAAGATATTGCACAATATCCAACTAAATATGGTAGAAGTAATAAACCCTATGTTGACATCAAAAAGTGTACCTCTAGGTGGCCAACAGATCCTGAGACCTTCTCACGTCTTAACAAGCCATTTTCCTGCACACTAGGACAAACTGTTAGACACACGTGGCCTTCTCTGGTAGGGGTGGAGCCGACCGAGCATACTACGACGATTAAGTCAATTGGAGAAGATGTATGTAAGTGTGGGAGAGCTTATAATGTGAGCCTCCAATATAAAATAAAGGGGGTCAGATTCGGAAGTCAATAAAATGTAGAAAGCAAAATTATAGTATCAAAGTCTAAACTAGCATTACCTCTCATTGACACTAAGTGTGAGCTTATATAGTAGGAAATAGTGCGTGAAGACTGTCATATGAGGAAACACGTGGCCTCATCCATGTGGGTACAACCTCCTCATGGGAATAATCATAAGACTTGAATGGTAACATCAGTTTCCCTTTCAGAATTTATAGCTTGCGGCCATAGATTCAACCAACTAGGTTGGCGATGACGGCGGTGTCACGGAGCAGTTAAATCAGTCGTGTTACTAGAGCTGATTTAGGAGGTCTTCTATCAATCAACCTCTTTATTAATTTCGTTGCTTTTGCCTGGGTTCCTGTAGGTCGATTCACCCCCACTGGTTCGGTTGTGTTGGTTCAAATAGGGGTGGGTTCGGTTAAGGAGTTCATCATTTGGTTCGTTATTCCATGGGTTCGACCGTGAAGGTTGCGAAGTGCCTATGGTCTCGCCCACAATGTGGTGTGTTCCGCCCGCCATGTGGCATGTTTGGGCCTCTGTGACGAACTGGGTATAACAATAGTTCTCGAAGTCCATGTATGGGTATTTATATAATGCGTGGACTTGAGAGGTTGAGAGGAAGCAAAAAAATGAATTAGGTATAACAATAGTCTCCGAAGTCCATGTATAGGTATTTATATAATGCGTGGACTTGAGAGGTTGGGAGGAAGCAAGAGACAAACGTAGCCCTTGGTAGGGACGACCATTGGAAGAAGCAGTCCTTTGGTATTAAACATAGGAGGAACTGATTTGAAGACGAAGTGACGTCCCTGGTAGCTTGAACGTCGTGGGCATTAATTATTGTTGACTCTGTGATGTCGCTTGGTTTTCCCAAGGTGGTGACCATCATTTCCAACGTAAGTTGCTGGACACGTGTTTCGATTGTGGCAGTAAGAACTGAAACGTCAGGTATATTCGATGATCCCGATCTCGTCGCCATATGAATAGCCAGGATCTTTGCAATCGAATGGTTGAGAATGGTCACCATTGCCTTTAAAAGGGGCTTTTGCTTTGCATGCTCATTGTGTGGCATGATTCGCATGATTTTGTGTATATGTTGCATTCAATTAGAGTACTTGTCATTGGTTGATAACGAAATTGGGGTTGGTGTAATAGATTGCTCGGTTTTGGTAGATATTATGGAGTGTATAAACGACAGGAATTGTGGGCATATTATGCGATTTTTTTAGATCCATGGGAATCGTGATATAGTTTTACTACAATCTTCTTTGAAGGCCCTGGGGGCAACAGAATGCCTTGGGCTCTCTAGTGGATCATCATGCTATGTTGCAATAGTGTGCGATGACATCCAAGAAGCCCTTAGTGGCACTATGTGGATCCATAGGGTGAGCTTCCCCTGAGCAGCTACGCAGTCATTTTGCCGGACCTTTACAAGGCAGAGTGTATTGTAGCTGCAATTTTGAGTTTCAACATAGTCCTGAGGGTGTACATAGTACCGAAGGTCGACATATAGAGCGTGCAGCCAAAAAGGGAGAGCTCCAGTGGTTCACTTGCTACGTAGTTGTATCCTGTAGTGTCTTTGTATTGTAACTGTCCTTTGTAATTAAAACAATGTATTGATCTCAATTGTCAATATATGGAATAAAATTTGTTATTTTTGTTTTACTCGTGTTATGGCTGCAATTTAGCGAAACGTATGTAGAAATCAAAGTTGAAGTTAGGAGATTTTCACTTAGTCAAATTTGGGTTTGAACTGAGTAGAAGAGGCGATGCTTGACAAGACGAGCCTATTTTACTTAGTCAAATTCGACTTTGAATCGATGAGAGAGGCGATGCCTATGATGGGGCGAGCCTATTGTACTTAGCCAAATTTGGGCATGAATTGACGAGAAGAGGCGATGCCTATGACGCGGTGAGCCTATTGTGCTTAGTCAAATTCGGGCTTGAATTGATGAGAAGAGGCGATACCTATGACGAGACGAGCCTATTGTACTTAGCCGAATTTCCTTTGAGGCTTCAAAATCGAAGCATGCTGAACTAGACTCGGTAGTAGAGCAACTGACTTAAGCTAATCGGACTTAACTGCAGAAGTCCACCTCTACCAGTCCGAGGTGAACCCATTAACGAAGCAAGCTAAAAATTCTGATAATCTGCAAAAGATTGCCTCATCTGCCCTAGAAGAGGCCAATAAGAAGAGAGCATAGTTGAAGGCCCAAGTTGAGGGGATCGCTTCCAAAGCGGCAGGTTTGAGGCAGCAACTTGAAGGAGCAGGTGCTGCGGCTGTCGAACAATACATCGTCTACTTTCATGAAATAGCTGAGTATAATGACCTGGGGATGTATTGGAGGGGGTCGCCTACAACGAGGTTTTTAAGAGGCTTGCGGAGCTTCATCTCGAGTTGGATTTAACCTCTATCAGGGACGAGTTCATTCTGGCTGAACCTTCCAACATTGTCGATGAGGAAACAACTGGTGGAGAGGACGTAGATTAGGACTTTACTTTTGTAATCTTTATATGGCCGAAGGTGAATGTATGTAGCCCTGATTTTTGTGAAAGTTTTATTCGCTCCGCACTCGTTTCGCTTCACCGTTTATAATTTTCCAAATTTGTGATGTGACTTGAGTAATTTGTTGTATGTTCAAATGTATCATATAAATGTTTACTTAGAGAACTAAACTAAGCAATTTGCAGTATATGAACTTATCATATAAACTTAACTTGGAGAAGACTATGGGCTCGCCATAGATGAACTGAATTAAGTAATTTGCAGTATATGAGCTTGTTATATAAACTTAACTTGGAGAAAACTATGGGCTTGCCATAGACAAATTACTTAACTGGTTCGCAGTATATGAGTTATATCATATAAACTTAACTTGGAGAAGACTATGGGCTCGCCATTGACGAACTGAACTAAGTAATTTGCAGTATATGAGCTTGTCATATAAACTTAACTTGGAGAAAACTATGGGCTTGTCATAGAGAAATTACTTAACCAGCTCGCAGTATATGATTTATATAATATAAACTTAACTTGAAGAAGACTATGGGCTCGTCATAGACAAACTGAACTAAGTAGTTTGCAGTATATGAGCTGGTCATATAAACTTAACTTGGAGAAAATTATGGGCTCGCCATAGACAAATTACTTAACTGGTTCGCAATATTTGAGTTATATCATATAAACTTAACTTGGAGAAGACTATGGGCTCACCATAGATGAACTGAACTAAGAATTTGTAGTATATGAGCTTGTTATATAAACTTAACTTGGAGAAAACTATGGGCTCGCTATAGACAACCTGAACTAAGTAATTTGCAGTATATGAGCTTGTCCTGGAGCCTTTGGATAGGGGCTTTGCCTTCTTTGCTTGCCAAGTATTGGTTTAAGAACGTTTTCTTGAGGTCAGGCCAACTTCTAATGCTGCCAGTCGGGAGGTGACTATACCAAATTTCAGCCGCTCCTGTTAGGGTCAAGTGGAAAGCTCTGCATTTCAGCTCTGGGGAGGCTCCTCTGAGAGACAACTGGGTTATGTAGTTGTTTAGGTATTTCGCCAGATCCTCCTTTCTTTCATATTTGGGTATCTTTGGGGGAACAAAGTGGCTTCGCATTTCGGCATTCCTCAATTCTCGTGAAAAATGGAGGCTATCATCATCATCAACCAGCTCGAAAGATCTGTAGGGGCCATCCGATTCACCCTTCTTCAATTGATACCGAGGTAGGTGGGACGTCTCAGCCTGATTTTGTAAGTTTTCAGCATCCCTTCTTTCCCGCCTATTTCTAGGTGGTCTGACCTCCTGGGGTTCGAGCCCTTGGGCGTACTCCGACTGCCTTTGGGTGGGTCATGATTGTTGTGGCCTAATTTTAGTCCTCGTCGGACCGATTTGATCAAAGACACTGGCCGATCTATGTGTTCCCTAATCTTGGGCATACTCGGGAGGGAAGTTTTCTTCTTGTGGCAAGTTACCCGAGGTTCCAATCGGAATGTAACTGGAGGTCATATCCATGCCTATCTTTCTCTCACTTGGGTTTTGTTCTCTCATGTGTTCCTAGGCGTGGGTCCCCGCATGAGCTTCCTGATAGAGAGGTTCTTGGTGAGGAACCCGGTATCCCGATTGTCCGTGCATCTGCATAAGCAAGTGCTGCATTGTAGCATTTTGTTGGGCAATGTCCCTCATGTTAGTTGCCACCTCTTGCACTTTTCTCGTTAGACGCGCTGTGGTCTCACCTCGTCTGTATTGGTGGTGAGGTCGCCGGGTTGTGACGTTAGTATGAAGAACTTCTTCTTCAGAGGCTTTCCGTCAGTGTCCCCTACTGTGGGAGCCGTAATGACTAGAATCATGGGGTGTCGTTGACTGAACTTTGGGTGATAATTTCAAATGTGTTGCTTTGGATGTTCCATTTCTCTCTGTCGTTCTTTTTCAAGAAACTGGTCTTTCTTCAAGATCTAGCTGGAGAAAAAACACGTTTCAAACTGGCTTCACTGGGATGTTCATGGTTAGAATGTGTGATTTTTCATAAACGACGTCAATCTGTTGACCTCAAAAGGTGTACTTCCAGGTGGCCAACAAATCCCAAGACCTTTTCACATTTTAACAAGCCATTTTCCTGCACACTAGGACAAATCGTTAGACACACGTGACCTTCTCCGATAGGGGTGGAGTCGGTCGCGCGTACTCCGATGGTCAAGTCAGTTAGGGAAGATGTATGTGAGTGTGGGAGAGCTTATAACATGAGCCTCCAATATCAAATAAAGGAGGTCGAATTTGGAAGTCAATAAAATGTAGAGAGCAAAATTATAGTATCAAAGTCTAAACTTGCATTACCTCTCATTGGCACTAAGTGTGAGCTTTTATAGTGGGAATAGTGCATGAAGATCGTCAGATGAAGAGACACGTGGCCTCATCCATGTAGACACAACCTCACATCATGGGAATAAATCAATCACAAGACTCGAATGGTAACATCAGCTTCCCTTTCAGAATTTATAGCTTGCGGCCATAGATTCAACCAACTAGGCTGGCGGTGGAGGCGGTGTCAGGGAGCAGTCAAATCAATTGTGTCACTAGAGTTGATTTAGGAGATCTTCTGTCAATCAACCTCTTTATTAATTTCGTTGCTTTCGCCTGGGATCTATATATCGGTTCACCCCCACTGGTTCGATTGTGTTGGTTCAAATAGGGATGGGTTCGGTTAAGGAGTTCATCATTTGGTTCGTTATTCCATGGGTTCAGCCATAAAGGGTGCGAAGTGTCTGTGGGCACGCCACGCAGCGTGTTTGGGCCCCTATGACGAACTGGGTATAACACCCTCAATCGCTACCAACATAATTCAGCATTTATGTTCATTACATTTAATGATGTCCGCTCTCGACTCCGTGTTTTCCTCGACAATTCCCTACCAAAAGCGCACTCTATTGTTCTATGAGTGATGAGTCCTCTCTTACTTCGAATATACATATTTATAGGCAAATAAAATGTTCCGACTCCCATCAAATTACAATATAATGTCCATTATTAGAATAGATGTAAAAGTTGTAGACATGACATAAAGTTTGAGCTATGCCACTTCCATAACACAGACTTAAATAATACACAACTCTTTATGTTGGTAAACTTGCGAATTGGACTCAACAACGGAATCCCTGGATCTCACATAACACAAGGAAATAGAAAAGAAATCCAATTTTTTTACTACAAAAATACATAAGTGATCTATTCTTTAACTTTCTATAGTTTGTGTTGGAATCTAATTGAATGTCCAATGAAGTAAGTAATATATGTTAATTGTTCGTACAAAATTCGCTAGCATACGGAATTGTTGACAAGTAATATTAAAGTGAATTGACTTATCGTCTTACGAAGAATAATGTTAATTCTAGTTCACTACTTACGACTAAATTCAATATTAGTGACACAAAAGAGGTGATTTTGTTGTTATTTATACTAATTCTAAACTAAGAAAGAAATAAAAAATGTTTTGTCAAATATGTGAGTGATTGTATTGGATTTTGAATTCTCCTATTGCCATTTATTTTAATTGTTGATTCGTAAACTAGTCAATTTTATGCTTTTGGGACAATCGATAAAGTTAGTATATTTAATTCTCTTTTCCAATACAATTAAGTTTATTCTAGCCATGACTTGATCTTATTCCTAGTTCGAATTCATTTGATCAAAATGCATTAAATTGTAATTATCTATGTGACTACATATGTGATAAAGATTATTTCTAGTTCTATCTACATATGTTAATTTTGTTACGTTCTAAATTTATTGTGAATCTTCCAATATTATAACAAGAAATTAATTATTCAATTGGTAACCAATCATTTAAATAATGTAATGGATATGCAAAATCAAACAAGAAAACTAAGAAATAATTAAATTACTAGTCTTAAATTAAAACAAATATGCAATAGGGTTTATCATTCATCCGATACAATAGAAAAACCTAGCTTAGCATTCTATTAAATTATACAAGAAATATTGAAAAAAAATCACCTGAAAAGAAGAAATAATGAAGAAAGTGAAAAAAATTCACTTTCTTGACTTGAATCTTGTAAAGGGTGAATATTCTTCAATAGTCTTGTGTAATCCGCCTTGATGTTGATGCTTAGCCTTGTTCTTCATCTTCAAAATACGTAGAAACTGTGATTTTTATGTCTAAGAGAGGTCCTCCCACATTCTGGACAAGTTCTAGTTTATATAGACACCCCAAAAATGTCTTCCCATGTAAAGTTTAAACGAAATAAGGAAACAAAAATCACGCCAAGTTTAACACTATGCGACCACATGGAGTAAGGAGGTGGGGCTGCGTAGGAGGATTTTCATTAGCTAAAATGTGTTTTGAAGGAGTAGTTGCGACTGCAAGTGATTTTAACTATGCGGCCACATAGTATAAGCAACATTTTTCGTCGAACAATTTCAGTAGTTTAGCCATATCTTTCACTTCTGATATCCAATTAGGTGATTCAAATTACGTCGAAAAGATAACTCGAAAGGCTAAAATCTTCCAAGTTTATCATTTTTTTCAATTCAAATGTTTGCTATGCTAAAAATGAGTCTTAAACTAAGACTGAAAATTGGAAGAATATTTTTTTCAACTGAAAGTTGATGTATGATAATATTTGACTATACTTCATCCATTCGACTTATTTTCCTATACAATTGACCCTTAACACTCAAATCTTCATAATGAAGTTCAACACAATTTTTAAGTACTTGCACTTAGTTCCTGAACTTTAGATTTGCTTCATTTTGACCATTTTTCATTCTTTCTTCTGATTCCTTATCCAAACGTGAGTTTTCATAATAAAAGTAATAAATAATAAATTAGGCACTTATCCTCTAAAAAATAACAAAATATCATCATTTAGAATCCCAAATAAGTGTACAAACTACACTTATCAAATCCTCAAACTTAGATCTTTATTTATCTTCAAACAAAACTGAAACTCAACTATATTACAAACACACAAATATGCGAAAATATTTAGCTAGCTAACCCTACATTAAATCATGACATTGAATCTAAGCACAACTTCAAGATCAAAATATAAGAATTAAAGTCTACTTTTCCAATCTAAAGTCGACGTGTGTGAAGAATTAAACATAGTTTCATGAATTCAAAATATCATAATCACTTTCCACAAAGCCTTCAGTTTCATCTTCCATTCTATTATCACTATGTCCTTCATTCTCCAGTTCTTCCTCACCCATTTTCGAGTTCTCTTCAGCCTGATTTGGTTGGAAGTACCAACTACAACTTTATACGTGAGTGTTTCCTCAATTTACGACCACACCTCCTCTACATTTTTAGGCAAATAGTCACCATTGTTCGTCTCACCCAAACCACCTTCATCCACATCAAACATCAGGATGTAGCAACCTTCTATGGTATTTTCACCCCCTTCATTAGGGCACTACTCTCTAGGACCTCAGGCAATGGTTCTTAGCATGGTCTTTTGAGGTAATGCATATGTCTAGTTAGGCACAACTACATAATTCTCTAGCAACCTATGACCTTTAAGGTCCTTCAACATCTTTCTCACATCTGATTCACTACGTAACCTCCTCAAAACACTACCAAACTCCTTTCCTACAGGTCGAAGTAAACTCCAAAAGGCCCACAAATATACTCAAGATCTCGAACTATTCCCTATTGAAATAATCAGCTTTTACAAAGTCCACAAACATCACACTACCATTCGTACTTCACATTATTTGGATTATCGAAGAATGCACCACTAGTGTATATAGCTATAATGAAGTAGTCTGTGTATCCAGCTGGACGATAATGACAAGGGTTAGTACAAGAATCAATTCAAGACTCTTAGCAAACAACATGCACATACCTTTTACAACAAATTCCAACAGTAACATGTAAAAAAATTGAATTAAAAAAAAACAACATTTCTCAAATAGCAACAATAGAGAAACTTACCATACAAATGAGCTTCTTCAAACCATTTGAGTCTTGGATCCTCCATTCTCGATAATCACAATGAAATAGTAATTAAAAAAAAACAACTAATATCAAGATATAATTCCAAAATTTCACAAATTTCACGCACGCATTTAAAAAAAGAAAACACCACTTCAACAATTTATTGTCACACTTTGGCTGAAGAATGGCAATTGTTGGAACTTTAGAAGTGTTGAAAAAAACCTCGAGTATCATGGGTGGAGTATAATCGGATCTTGAAATGTGGGTTAACAGCCTAAAGAATCTCACGTTTCATGTCGGTTCGTTTTGCACAAAACTCCCCTACTGGTTTTAGTACAAATTTCACGCACGCATTTAAAAAAAGAAAACACCACTTCAACAATTTATTGTCACACTTTGGCTGAAGAATGGCAATTGTTGGAACTTTAGAAGTGTTGAAAAAAACCTCGAGTATCATGGGTGAGTATGATCGGATCTTGAAATGTGGGTTAACAGCCTAAAGAATCTCACGTTTCATGTCGGTTCGTTTTGCACAAAACTCCCCTACTGGTTTTAGTTGGGTTTTATTAAAGAGAGAAATAAGAAATGATGCATTTGTCCATTCTGATTTATCTATTTTCCCCTTTTTATTGGAATTTAACAGTAAATCTGACGGATCTTGACAGCATTGATGTTTATCACACAAAAGGTTTCAAATGTGAGGGATTTCTGAGATTTTCAATAGGTAGGGGATATATCACACATAAAAACGTTTATGGGGTGGTTTTATACTATCAATCCTTTATAGATTGAGAACTAATGGTGTAGTTTGTTTATTTAATTATTGTTTTTGATTCGTCACTTTCAACTTTCCTTTTAGCTAACAAAACAACTGGACTTTCAAATTATGGAGCCAATCTAACGTATATGATTAGAAGGAGATTCAATTGAAATAGATAAGATAGAATTCTCATTAAAAATATGGAAAGATGGTATTAATTCAAAAACCTTAAGAACATAAACACAATCTTTGACGATTACAATCAGTTCTAATCTAAAGGCATCAAGATCTCTTCAATCGTACGCTCAGTCAATTGTACCTATCTGTTTCATCATAAAGGCATCAAAAAACCCAATCCCTCACTCATGAACGCGAATGGGTTTTCTTCTATGGACCAGAAGAACCCAGATCACTTCAATCATTTCTTACCTTACAAAAGGAATCGCTCTAACTCTTTTCCCACTAAGAAATTTCACAGTTCATCCAACCAGATGCTGAAGATGAAAGAAGACGCCGAACAGGTTCAAAGGAAAATTTCTGTTAGATGGATACATACACAAAAAAAATGACAGTATGACTCTAGGGTTTAGGCCAAGTATTCTATTTATATTCAAAACACCAACCATTGATCTGAGATGAATCCAATAGTCCAAAGCAACCGACGCTCTCTCCATTCAAGCAGCAACCACAATCGCACTTCAAGATATACGAGTTATCTGTTTGGTATTGGGCCTGGGTTATCGGTCATCTGAATGAAGTTATTGGACAATTGTTAAATCTAGCTGGGCTAAAGGTCATTTCATCATTGTCTATTGTTGGACTAGATCTAGCATCATAGATCAACAAACAAAATAATAGAAAAGGAGCATGAGAAACTAGGAACTAGAATGTTAACAGAAAAAGATTAAATAGACATAGAAATCAAGATGGAAGAAACTAACAATAGAGCTAAAATGGAAACAGATCAAGAATTTGGAAAAAAAAAAATGCATGAATACAGAATACGATATAGGAGGTAAATGTCATTTTCCCCCGCAAGAGACTTTGAATGGATCAATAAAAAATATAAAAGTTTAGGAAAAAGACAAATGAAAGAAGGATGTAGTTTACCATTAGCAAGCGATAGGGGATTGATCTTAGAGTTAAATAATTGTAAACCATAAGACAGACCTAGTACTATAACTAAATGGGAAAATTCTGTAATAAGAGCATATAATAGTGTACATATACTGTAGACGAAATAAGTGCTTACTTAGAAACTTATTTAGGAAAGACTGCTTTAGATATATACGTTGCAGCAAAAAGACAAAAACCATATGAAATTAGATGAAGAATGACTGGAGGAGATAACCCTAGAAATTTTACAAGCTTTATTAAAGAATTAATTATAGGTTTTGATCCCAGTGGAGATAATACTTATAAACAAAATAAAGGTTTAGAAGACTTAGAAAAATTAAGTACTAGTAATATGAAATACATATAACCATTTTTGTTAGACTTTGAAAGATTAGCAAGCGCAGTAGGATTAGCATTAGATTACCCTACACTTCAAAGACTATATAGAAAGATACTACCACCATAGAATGATAAAATTAGAAAAAATGTAGAGTCAAACCCAACAAGGGAAATAACTATTAGTGCCATCATAAAATTTATAACTGATAAATTAAAAAAAAATATTATGTAGAAGAAGTAGCTAGAAAACAAATAAAGAAATTAAATTATTCTTATTTCTTAGATTTATATACATCATAGACATATGATTATAGAAAAAGAAAGAAATTTTTTTATAAAAAGGATAAAAAAAATATATAAAAGGCAATATCAAAATAAAAAGAAATATAATATTAAACCAAGTAAGACATACTATAAAAATAAAAATAAAAAACTCAATTATAATAGATATGCTAGAAAATCAAAAACTAAAAAAGACTGTAAATGTTATATTTGTAGAGAACCTAGACATTTTTTCTAACAAATGCCCAAATAAATATAAAAATAAAGAAAATACAGCTAAATTTATGATAATTGAAAAAATACAATGTAACATAATAGAACTATCTGATAACAAAACTTGTAACTTAGTATATAGTATTTACACAGATGAAGAGTTAGATAATTTAGAAATAATAAGTAATTCAAAAGACAGCTATGATAGTTTAGAAGAATTAGATTTTTCAGTTTTAGATATAAAAATGATGAATGTAAAACAAGAATGTATCCACGGATGGATTAGAGGACAATGATTAATGATGGATAAATGTAAAATATGCAAAATATACCTAGGACATAAAAATAGAAATCACTGTAAGAATTGTTTAGAAATTCAATTCAATAATTGTTTAGGGAGTAAAGAAGAAATAAATAATAATAAAAATAAAGTCTATAGTGAAAGCATAGAAAAATTAGAAAATAAAATAATAGATACTAATAATAGAATAGATAAAATACACGAAACATTAGGATAAATACAATATATGATCAAAAATTTAGAAACAAAAGGAAATCGGTCTCTAGATAATTACATAGAAAAAAATTATTTGGAAACGGAAAATCGGGAAGAAATAATTTGTCAAATATCTAGAGTGAAAACGACAAAAAGCATCATAATACCTATAGAAGTACAAATAAACAAAATGATAAAATTAAATTTGATAGAATTAATAGACACAGGTTGTACATTTAATATAATCAGAAAAGATTTAGTGTCAGAAGATTGTAGACAAAAATTAGAATATGAAATAAGAGGAAGTCAAATGGACGGTAGTAAAATGGAATTCGAATAGAGACTTTTTGATGATTGTAAGATTAAATTTCAAGAAAGACATTATAGTTTAACGACTACATTAGTTAGTGCGTTGATAAAAGATGAATTTGTTATAGGTATAAAATTTTTGCTAAGTAGAAATTGAAGTTTAACAATTACTCCTGATATTATAATTTTTGGAAAAGACATTTATATTATTAATACTTTAGAATCATTTGAGTTGCGAGCTAAGCGCGGTGGACCCTTACAACCAGAACCAGACCTAGAAATTGAAGAAAATTTAGAATTTTTAGATAACTTATCTTTAGAAACTTCAAAAACAGATTTAATACCAAGAAATGAAGAATTAATAATTTTTTAAAAATCATCTTCCAAGATCGATAGTATAGACAAAATTTTAAAATTATCTGAACATATTCAAATAATAGGAGAAGACCCTATAAAACATTGGGATAAAAATAAAATAGAAACTAAATTAGAAATAATAAATGAAAATATAAAAATTAGAACAACAGAAATAAAACATACGAATCAAGATATAAAAAATTTTAATATACAGGTTAAAAAATTATTAGATTTAAAAGTAATAAGGCCGTCTAGTAGTCATCACGGATTAGCAGCTTTTATGGTTAGAAATCATAGTGAAATAAAAAGAGGAAAAATAAGAATGATTATAAACTATAAAAAATTGAATGATAATAATGTAAAAGATGGATATAAGATACCAAATAAAGATATGTTAATAAATAAAATACAAAATAAAAAGATATTTTCTAAATTTAATTATAAATTTGGATTTTGGCAAATAAAAATGGCAACAAATTTTATTCCTTGGACAGCTTTTACTACTCCATTAGAACACTTTGAATAGTCAGTCATGTCTTTTGGATTAAAAAATATACTCTCTATTTTTCAAAGAAAGATGGATAGTATATTTAATTCTCTTCCATTTGTTTGTGTATATATAGATGATATTCTAGTACATAGTAAAAATTATAGAGAACATGTGAAACATTTAAAGATAACCTTGAATAAATTTATAGAAAATGGTTTAATTATAAGTAAAAAGAAGATGGAAATAAATAAACAAAAAATTGAATTTTTAGGAATAATTTTGGAAGAATGAAATATTCAGTTACAGCCACATATAATACTGACAATTTTACAATTTTCAGACAAAATTGAAGAAACCATTCAATTTTAGATAACACATAAAAGATGGTTGTAATTATATGAGATATTAAGCAGCTACAAAATGAATATAGAACATATTAACGGAAATATAATATTTTAGTAGATAATTTAAGTAGGTAGGTTATTAATTTTCTAACTCATTATCTTCATGATGTAGATGGATCAAAAGATGATGAACTTTGGAAATATCACTCTGAGAGTGGCCTTTCAAGGATCTAATCTTCGATTCAGAGGAAATAATTTAGAAAAACTACCAGAAAGGGAGCATTGTCTATTGGATAATCTCTGGATGGCACGTGACTCTAAACAAAAATTAAATGGCATTAATATCCTAGCTAACCATTTTAGACAGATTCATAATCAAATAGAAAGCAAAAATTTTAGTTTCTTTATAGTAATTAAAGGTAGAAAGCCTAGTATATATAATTATTTGTCAGAAGTACTACAACAAGTAGAAAGATTTCCCGACCCTCTTTTCAAAGGACTTTATACACATGAAGAAGCTTTAAATTTTTGTAGAAAAATGATATGATTTCATTTTCATATATCCGAAAGAGTTAGACAAATCATGCAAACCCCCTCTTAAACTTCATCGTCATCTTCATCAATATAACTTTGTGATAGTTGTGAAATTATGACCAAAGTTGTTAGAAATTTAATTTTTAAAAAGCATTCATTAGAAGAAATACTACAACTCCTTGAAGATCAAATTTCTTCATCCCAACAAACTATTAGTAAATATCAAAATGAGGTTCTTAAATTGCATGATAGTTTAGACAGACTTAGTCTTAGAGATAAACTTGAAAAACCTATTTCTAAAGATATCGCCTTTACAAGTAGAAATTATTCTGATAAAATAGAAAGACTTATTGAACTAACAGATTCTACAGCTGCAGGACAAGAAAAGACTTTATACGAATTAGAACAGAAAACTGGTGATTGCGCCGGTATTATTCGAAATTCTATAAAGAATTCCATTGTACAGGAAATTATAGATTTTGCTCAAATTTTAAGTTACTATCATAATGAAATAGATACTTCCTTAGACATGGTCCCAAGTACGATTCAGCCCAAAATTCAGCCATCCTTAGACACAATTATCCAACAATTCCTTTGATTATACAATCTTTGAAGAAGAATACCTTTTTTTACCTAACTTTACGATAGATACTATATATATATATATATATATATATATTAAACAACTCTTTTCAAATTTTTCCACCAAAACTGAAACAGATTCTTGATCAGTTAAAGAACCATCCTTTAATGATTCAATTCATTTCCATACTCCTTGTGTAAATAATGGCATTGTAATTCCAATTTATTATCGTGTTTTAATTTATGAAGGAGCCAAAAGAATTAGACCCTCTTCAAGGACAAGTATTAAAATAAAAATTAGATAGATTGATTATGAAAGAAGAATATCAGAAATTGTAGCCATTATGGAAGTTAAAAATAATAATTTCAGATTAGTAGCACAATGGAACGGCGGAGTTATTTTCTACCAAGAGCACCTTGCCAAGAGAATTAAAGTAGAAAAAATTTAAGTACCAAATGTTGAACAAAATGATTTATATCTGATGGTGTTGTAAGAGACTAATGGAGAATTTATAGTAACCCAATCAGATAAAGAAGAAGAAGCATTTATATCTGATGGCAACGATAATGAGATGGATCCAGAACAAGAAGAAGCCATAGTAGAAATGATGGACAGATAAGATTAATAATTGAAAAAGACGAGATAGAAAGACAAAGAAATAATTATCAAGA